CCAATAAATGAGTACTTTAACTCAATGTGAGAATTCAATGAAATGTACTCTGTGCTCTTGTTAGATAGTTTTGTTTGTTTTAAAACTGACAGTTTGTCAAATAGTGCAGTGGCACGCTGGCTTATTCGTGAACGCGTTGGTTCGTTTTGGTACTCAAGTTTATTGAACACACTGGTTCGAGGATTGACTAAAACACTYTTAGGAAGTGTGCACAGGTCAATAAAACCAAATGAAGGAACAGAGGCCTAATTTACTCACCGTTTATGGTCTTTTCAGTACTTTAACTTCAACAGTTTCTTCCTTTAGCTATGGCGTACTTCGWCGACTCGCAAGCGACTTGTGATGCCAGGACCATGAGACTATCGTGGCTTCCGATTGGTTTAGATCTGAGTTCTATTGTGTGCTCCAATTGGTTGACTCGTAATTCCATTGTTACATTACATTCCATTACATTCGAATCGAGCTTTGTTCTCCATAACCTTTTTGTGCATCGGCTCTATGATGCTGCCGCCTTGCCAGCCTCGCGTCAGTCATGATATCCCATAATATTAAAGGTCAGTTTGATATATATGAAATATATATATATGAAATATATGATATGATATATATATGAAACAGCTGTACAGCTGTTTGCAATAATTCTGACCCCCTCTGCCATATTTCATATATATCAAACTGACCTTTAATATTATGGGATATCATGACTGATATATTTTTTGAGTTGTCCAGAATGAGTACTTTCTAAAAAAAATATCAGCATCGGTATCCCATAATTTCTAAGGCTACTTTGATATATATGAATATTAGTGTAGGGGGGGGTCAGAATTATTGCAAACAGCTGTACAGCCGTTTGTATCTATCTTTGTCATTTATTCTTATACAATATTGTCCTTTATGGCGCCTCGAAGCTGTGCTATCTTATACAAACACCTGACTTCAAGTCACACACATATATTTGCTATACAGGGACGTGCCGCTGTCCAGGGTATGATTTTGGGCCTTGTTGTCTTAAACAGGGTATGCATTCCCCTGAAATTGTCTTAAACAGGCTGTACAATTTAGATAGAAGACTGATATAATTTTTTTTGTGTCTTGGGCAGGGTAATATTTTCATAAATACCGTAGAAATAGTGGAAATACTGTACCAGGATTAACGTGTTATCAAAACTTTTTTATTGTCTTTGATGGATGTCAGTATAATGGCAGTATTGATGGTTGTGGCGTAGATAGCTATTCCTTATTTTTCCAATTTGTCTTGAACAGGGTATGGATTTTCACTTTCTAGTGTCTCAAACAGGGTCAGAGTTTTAGACCACTTGCAGCACATACCTATCCAAAACGGGGTTGAGTATACAAGGTGTATAGACAGTTCATTGTAATTTTTAATTTTTAACCTATATTGTACATAGGAATCATGAAGTATCAACATAAAAGGACAAGTAGTTCAAAACTATACAAAATTTTGTTATTTGTTTTTGTCCATAGAAATGGGGCCTAGGACAAGCCGTTGAATGTGACATTGTCAACAACAGGAAGAACATAATGACACAGACTGATGACACTGGCTGCACCTATGGATGTACCTCTAT